AAAATATATTTAATTGCATGCATTTTAAATAAATAAATTATTTAAATATATTTAATTGCATGCATTTTAAATAAATAAATCATTTAAATATATTTAACTGCATGCATTTTAAGTTGTGCTCCATTTCTCCTTTTACACTCAAAAATGAGAAAATAAAAGCAAAAAAGTGCATTTTAAAAGTTTTTTATTAAAAAATTAAAAAATTAAATTCAAATAAATGCATTTTAAAAGTTTTTTATTTTAAAATTGAGAAATTAGATTCAAATAAATGCATTTTAAAAGTTTTTAATTCAAAAATTAAGATATTAGATCCAAACAAATGCATTTTAAATCTTTTTTATTTAAAAATTAAAAAATTAAATTCAAATAAATAAATTTTAAAAGTTTTTTATCAAAAAATTGAGAAATTAGATTCATTAATTTATTCAACAAAAAAGGGTTTGTTCATCAATAATAAACCCTAAACCCTAAACCCTAAACCCTTGACAAAGCCAATTGAGATAATTAACAAAAAAGGGTTTGTTCATCAATAATAAACCCTAAACCCTAAACCCTAAACCCTTGAAAAGTCAACTGAGATGAAAGGCAGTAACGGGAGCCTAAACCCCAAACCCTAAACCCTAAACCCTAGGATCTAACTAGGCCCTACGTGCAACACTAGATTCAAAAAGTCCGCGTTCGTCTTAGCCTAAACCCTAAACCCTAAACCCTAAACCCTAAACCCTAAACCCTAAACACTTGTTGCTGAGAAGCAGCTGCAGTAACCAGTCGCCGTTTGTCTCTTTTTGTCTTTTTTTATTTCTTTTTATTTCTTTTTATTTCTTTTTTGTTTTTTAATTTCTTTTTCTTTTTTTTTTTATTTTTTATTTTTGTTTTTTATTACTTCCAGCAAATCGCAAAACGCGGGGGAAAAGTTTGCAGAGAAAAAAGAAACAAATTAAGCAGCAGCAGCAGCAGCAGCAGCAGCAGCAGCAGGCGCTGCTGCTGCTGCTGCTGTTGTTGCTGCAGCAGCTGCCATTACTACAGCTGCTGCTGCTCCAGCTGCTGCTGCTACCGACGTTGCCGCTGCTGCTGCTGCTGCTGCCGCTGCTGCTGCTGCGGCTTTGAGAGAGGCGGAAGCCTCCTGGGACTCGCGGGTATCAGTTTAGGGTTTAGGGTTTAGGGTTTAGGGTTTAGGGTTTACTCAGTGAAGGCAAAGCGGTGAGCATCGTCTTTAATGCTGTCCGGCAAATCCCCCAACACTTTTATTGCGTAGCAGCCGGGCACGCCTTCAGCTGCACACAAACCCTAAACCCTAAACCCTAAACCCTAAACCCTAAACCCTAAACCCTAAACCCTAAACCCTAAACCCTGCAGCGCAAACCCTGAACCCTAAACCCTCAGCCCT